TTTAGGGTTTAGGGCTAGGGTGTATCCCCACCTTTCACCCAGCTGAAAACAAGGCTTCGCGAGCCTGGCGAGATCTCCTTAGGCGAGCTTGCAGAAGGCGATGCTGTATTCATGAACTTGGGCATTTAGGGTTTAGGGTTTGGGGTTCAGGGTTCAGGGTTCAGGGTTTAGGGTTTAGGGTTTAGGGTTTAGGGTTTAGGGCGTCTCCGTCTTGTCTGCTGAAGTATGCCGGACGATTCAACATGCTCTGAGTCCCAGAAGTACCTCGAAGTTGATACATAATCTACCCTCCGACGTCCCAGGGCGGGGCCAGTATTCCCTTCATTACAAACTTGAGCAGTGTGTGGGGCTTTGGGGTTTTCACGGCTTGGGTTTCTTTATCCACGCCCTTAACCACCAAAAGGGGTTTACGAGGGTTTCCTCAGTGGCTAAGGGATCTAGATCTTGCCGACCAGGCATAGCGCACGTAGAAGCTGCAGTAATTAAATGACCCAGCACCTCAGCTCCCCGAAGCTTGGTACCCTAAACCCTAAACCCTTCAACCCCAGCCTCGAACCCCAAACCTTGAAAATTGAACCCTGAAACCCAACAACCCAACAACCCCAAACCTAGCAGTTGCCCTGAACCTTAAGGGAGGGTTTAGGATTCAGGGCTACAACCAAAACCTTAAGCCCTTGCCCACAGAGCAAAAGCCAGCTGACAGGCTTGAAGAAGCTGGCTGGTATGGGCCCCAGTCAGGGTTTAGGGTTTAGGGTTTAGGGTTTGGGGTTTCGGGTTCAGGGTTCAGGGTTCAGGGTTCAGGGTTCAGGGTTCAGGGTTCAGGGTTCAGGGTTCAGGGTTCGGAAGCTGGGCAAATTCCCCCGAGCCATTTCCTGTTTCGAGGGTTTAGGGTTTCTAGGGTTCTAGGGTTGAGGGCTTCGCATGTGCAGGGTTGGATTCCTCCTGGGAGAAGTCGGCCCCAAACCTGAACCCTAAACCCTAAACCCTAAACCCTAAACCCTGAACCCTGAACCCTAAACCCTAAACCCCAAAGTCGCTAAACCCTGTGGTGAGTTTCGGGATGGCTGTGAATGCAGCACGTCGGAGGTGAGCACCCTGAGACCCTGGAGTCGCTGCGCAGCTCACGAGGGTTGAGGGTTCAGAGGGTTCAGAGGGTTCAGAGGGTTCAGAGGGTTTAGGGTTTAGGGTTTAGGGTTTAGGGTTATAGGGTGATAGGGTTTAGGGTTATAGGGTTTAGGGTTCAGGGTTTAGGGTTATAGGGTTTAGAGGCTTTATGGGGTTTATACTGTTGAAAGGGTTTACAGGGTTTAGGGTTGAGGGTGTAGGGTTTGTTCTTTAGCCGCCCGATCTACCAGGCAGTTGCACGGAAACTTGCAACCCCACCCATCCAAAACTCCAGAACCCCCCTCCCCTCGCAGGCCTTTGAGTGTTTGTTGAGGGGAGGCACCCTAAACCCTAGACCCTAAAACCTAAACCCGGAACCCTAAACCCCAATCCGAGGCGTGGACTTGGGCGCGAGAGCTCGGGATTGGATCGTGCCGGGCTTGGTCATGACAATAAACGCCTCTGAATGCCGATCCGAATACAACTGCAAAGGTAGTAGAGCAGCAAGGGTTAAGGGTTTAGGGTTCAGGGTTTAGGTTTGAACATAACCACAAAAAGCCCCCCACTCCTGTCTTCGGGGAGTGGGGTTTAGGGCTTAAGGGTCCTAAACCCCAACCCCGAAACCCTAAACACGAAGCCCGAAACCCTAAACCCGAAACCTTAAACCCTAAACCCTAAAACTGAAACCTTAAACCCGAAACCCTAAACCCGAAACCCTGAACCCCAAACCCGAAACCCTAGACCCACCTGAAGCAGCGTCTAGCGTCTAAGCTTTTCTCAGTTCAAGGAGACAGTATCCGTCCTAAACCCATACATGTACCTTTTGGGGCAACCTCGAAAATGTAAGGGAGTGCGTTGTAGCAGGTGCCCAAGAGACCATCATTTCCAGATACGTATGTTGACCTGTGCATCTATGTCTGTAGGTTTGTACAAATCTCCCTGTGCCAAGAATACCTCGCTCAGACAGAAAGCCCATGAAAGCTCAGTCATTTTTTGCAGTTTTTGTTCATCGAGCTTCTTGCATGCCGAATGCCCGTGGCTGAATGGGGCTCTGAGGGACCAAGGTACCATTAGATGGTTCAGATTGGTGCAGCAGACCTAACCGGAGTCCAAATGGCCCAAAACCCACGTTTGGGCGCCTTAAAACCAAATGCCAGACCATGAAAAAAAGCTCAATCTTCACAAGATGGCCGCACGCAAGAAAAAACATGAGTTACACGGCAAGGAATGTAGGTGTTGGAGTAGAAGTCCTGCAAGACTTGAATTGTCAGGCCCACCTTACAAGCAAGTAGCGTTTGCTGGAGCGTGGGTACGACCCGCTGCCGAGCGATGAAGCTGCTGGCTATACTGTGCCTGCCCCTGCCGGGCGCTCAGCTGAAAGGCATCTAGGACGTTCGCACTTGGCTCGAAGTCGGAAATCGCTTGCAAGATGTCAACCCTAAACCTAAGCTGCAAACTCGCAAGCCATTAAGACGACCTGTGGAGTCCGAAGCCCCGAAAACCCTCTAGTTCTTTCGGCTTGCTTCCAAAAGCATCGTCAGCTCATTCGCCAGGGCTGGGACGTAGGGATTTCGGGGCTTAGGTAGGGTTTAGGGTTTAGGGCTTAGAGCTTAGGGTCTAGGATAAGGGTTTAGGGTTTAGGATTTAGGGGTTCGGGGTTCAAGAGTTCAGGGGGTTACATCTGGGTTTAGTTTCTGTTTAGGACTAAGCAGTTTTGGTTCGGGGTCAGGAGGGTGCAGGGGTTTAGGGTTTTTGGGGTTTTAAGGTTTAGGGGTTTGAGGGCATTTTGGGGTTTAAGGCTTTGGCAGTTGAGGGGCTTTGGTTGGGGCTCAACGATGAGGCTGTAGTGGTTTAAGGATTGGTGGTAGTGCCCCCCCAATTATAATCCCTATGAAGGATTGGTAGTATACGGGAGAACATCCCAAGCCAACCACTTCATGCACACTCACTGTTGGTGTTTTCGGGTCTACGGTCAAACTGAAGATCGCTTGGTTGTCATGCTTGTGTTCAGGGTTTGGGTCCCAGGCTTTGTTCCTTTCCAAGCTGGCGGTGCGTAGAATGCTAACCTAAACCCTAAACCCCCTAAACCCCTAAACCCTAAACTTCCTAAACCCTAAGCCCTACCCCACATCCGCCCACATCTGTCCGTGCACGCAGGTGGCTGGTAACAGGAAACGATGCAGAGTGGAGGCCATCCCTGCCTTACCCTAAACCCTAAACCTTTGGTTTAGGGTTTAGGGTTTAGGGTCTAGGGTTTAGGGATCGTGGGCCGTAAGGATGTACCCCTCAGAGGTTCCCTTAGGATACGTACTCCTAATATTGCCCCTACATTCCCTTAACGGTTCTTGAAAAAGGGTCCCCAAACTAAGGCCAAAATACAACCTTGGAGGTCCAAGGCAGAGATCCCAAGCCTGAGGCTACTCAACCTCCTAACGCCCCAAATCATGAATCCCTCAAGCAGGAACTTTTGGGGTGCTCTAACTATACGGCCCCTATTGCGATACCCTGAACCCTAGACCCTAAACCCTAAACTCCCTTATTATAGGATCCCCAACAAAGCGCAGGCAGTTTTCAGATGTGGGCAGCCCACCGTCAGCGAGGCAGTGGACCCTGGGCCAAGTTCTTGGCACCGCTTTCTTCCACAACTCTCGGAGTTTAGGGTTTCAGTCAGTATTCCATGCTCTTCACTTGTTGTTTGTTTGTATAACTAGGTAGGGTATGGGGCTTAAGAGGATCATAGTCAGGGAGAATTTGTTCAGAGGGATTTAATCGCCATCCGAGATCATGTTCTGTGAGCTGAGGATGAGCGCTGTCTATGTGCCCGAGTCCAAGAAGCAGTCGAAGTGCCGAGGGACGGGGTGGGAGGCCAGTGAGGGCGTGGGCCGCAACCCAAGAACCTTAAATATCCTAAACACCTAAAAACGCTAAACAACTCCCTAAGCCTGATTTGGGGCTGAGGTTTTGGGGCCTCGGGAGGTAGAAACTTCCTCCAAAAGTCCGCTGGAGATGAACTAGACTTTCGAAGTCTGTTCACATGTGCGTGGCTGGATTCGCGGCCTCAATCCGATGGCCCCACGTAGCTAGCAGAATCTCCCGTGCTTGTCGGCCGTGGTTCTAGATCAATGCACTTCATGGCAGGACTACCGTTTGTTCGGGAATCTCACACGATACTGGTGGCTTCTGACATGTAGGGCGCCACGACTGAGCTGCGCAAGTGCGCAGTGGAAAGTGTCGAGAGAAGAGCGGGCAGCGAGCGCCCTTCCCTCGAAGTCGATTCTAGGGCATAGCCTCTTGGGCCTTGTAGGGTGCAGCGTGCATCCCACCAGATATCCTCTGGCTAAGGTCTTCAGAGAAGAAGATTTTCGCTTTCGGAGGAGGTGAAGACTGTCTCTCGGCCTCCTTTGCTCGAGAGACCATGAGAATGCCACCCTTCTCCCTCCCCCCCCCCCCCCCCCCCCCCCACAAAACAAAATAAACAAACAAGACAACAAAAGAAATGAAAGAGACCCGAATGCTTTACAACTTTTCACAAGGTCCCTTATGTTTGGTACGTATTTGCTGCTGGATTACCCAGCAGCCCTAGACCATTCTTCTGTGCAATTGATACAGCTCGCCAGGGCCTGTATGGTTGTCTCCTTCGGAAATATGCGCGAAAATGTGAAAGCACCCACGGCCACGTCTGGGGATGTTTTACTTCGAATATCCCCATGCTGCAGATTTGGAATTGTTTGCTGGGATTGGGCACTCCAGGGACGCTCTAGGGATACTCTGGGGTGACTGGGCGAGGAGAAGGGTTTAGTTTAACAACTAACAACTCCGCACCAAGAGTCGGGAATGCAAATTGCAGTTTTTGTCTGGCTCTAGGGGGAGTATGGTTGATGTCTTTAGTTTGGGACATGGCACTTTCTTGGAAGGCTGTGCCCTAACCCCTAAACCCTAAACCCTAAACCCTAGACCCTAAACCCTAAACCCTAAACCCTAAACCCTAAACCCTAAACCCTAAACCCTAAACCCTAAACCTGTGTAGGCTGCTGTTGGCGAGCGCCTTGTGAATCTGCAGTGGCCGTCGAGCACTCCACTAGCCAACAGCCACATTGCACCCCAAGCCCGGTGCCTCAACACCCCTGATCTCCAGGCACCTTGAAGGGCCCAAACCCTAAACCCTAAACCCTAAACCCTAAACCCTAAACCCTAAACCCTAAACCCTAAACCCTAAACCCTAAACCCTAAACCCTAAACCCTAAACCCTAAACCCTAAACCCTAAACCCTAAACCCTAAACCCTAAACCCTACCCCCTAAACCCTTCTGGAAGGCCATAACTATGCTCCGTAAGATGAGGGCACCGCAAGCGAGAGAAGGAAGACAGTATAGTCTTCATATTCATGTTCGACTCTCGACAGCCCTGATCAGCAGAGGCTGTAACACCGCCAACACCAAAGAAGACATGTACACTTTCGATGTGCCCCCGACGCATTGATCGAGTTTTCAGAAGCCGAACTAGTGCTTGTTTCGCATGGGCAGGCCCTTGAAGTTAGGTCTGGCTCTTGCAGGAGTTCCCCGCTAAGATCACCTCTATCCAGGGCCTCCTACGCGAGTACGACCCCAAACCCGAAACCCTAAACCCCTAAACCCCTAATCCCCTAATCCCCTTAACCCGGCCGAAGTCCTTGTCCACGTGCGGCCCACTCCGCGTCTCCACCACTGGGATGACCTGCTTGAGTTCTGAGGTCCCGTCTGGAGTCTCTTAGACCCCAGGAGAAAAGTGCCATGTTTGTGTGTTTTTTTTTTTTTGGGGGGGGGGGGTTGCAAACCCTGCAGACCCTAAATCCTCCAAAAAGAAACCCTGGCGAGTGAAAGACTGACTAACAGGTCAACGGAAAGTCGTGGGCAGACATCACCGGCTCAGACTCCAACAAGCCACAACAAAGGCACCTCTGGTACACCGAGGGTCAGAAAGGTTTTTGAAGTTCAGGGTTTAGGTAGCTTCTGCGGCCTTAAAACCGTCAACCGTAACCTTACATAAGCTTTCCGACCCCGTCGCAAGTCGTAGTTCTAAGGCCCCCTAAAGGCCCTAAGCCTCAAGGCATCCTGCCACCTCTGGTGCAAGTGTTTGGGTTTTGGGGCTTTTTAGGGTTTCGGATGCTTTTGGATATAAGCAATGCCATGTTTTCGGCCCTCAGCCCTACGCCCCAAACCAAGTAAGGCTCAATGGGGGGGGGTCGCAGGTAATCGGTGTTTTGATCGGTGACGTTTCGCTGATGTTTTCTCGGCATCTCGGGTGTCGGCCTCAACGGTACAAATATGTTCAGGGTTTATATAGAGCTCAGGCGGTTTCGGGAGTTTAGGGAGTTTCGGGATTTTTCGGGTTCAGCCACCTAGTCTTTAAATAGGGGCTTCGTGTCCTTAGGGTTTTTGAGCTGTGGGTTCACCCGCAGATGCAGGTTGCCCATCGACTTGAGGGTGTGAGAGCTGCGATGTTTTTTAAGTAGGATTTTTGTCAAACATATCTATTGGACTCCCATGAACTGAAAGAGGGCTTTTATTCTAGGGTTTATGAGAGCTAGTCATTCAACCGGACTCGTAATGCATCTGAAGCTACTGGAAAGGGCAGCTTTTGTGCACAGGCTCGGTGCAGGCATGGCCTATGATGGAAGTGATCCTTGGAATGAATAGGGCATGGGGTTTAGGGTTTGGGGCTTGGGATGCTCCCCCTTATACTAACAGTCCTTCATAGGGAATATGATAGGCGCGGGGTACTATAATCCCTTTAAAGGACTGTTAGTATAAGGGGGAACATCCCAAGGTTTGGGGTTCTGGGTGCCATCCCCTGCGGACTGAACTTAGAAAAGTCCAAGTACGGCAGGACACCTAAACCCTCCCCTGCGGACTGAACTTAGAAAAGTCCAAGTAAGGCCTATGAACTGTAAACCCCAAACCCAAACCCCAATTAGAATCAGCACCTGAAAGTTCCAAGGGCCACTGGGAAAGGGAACCCCCAAATGTTCCGATGATCCCTAAGACCTAAATCATCAGCCTCCCAAAGCCTAAGCCCTAAAAGCAGAAGCCTAAACTCCTACACCCCAAGCCCTAAGCCCCAAACCCCCAAATCCTAAAAACCCGAAACCCCCCGAAAATCTTGAACCCCAAACCCTTAAACCCTGAGCCCGTAAACCCCACACCCCCAAAACCCTAAACCCTAGACCCTAAACCCTAAACCCTAAACCCTAAACCCTAAACCCTAAACCCTAAACCCTAAACCCTAAACCCTAAACCCTAAACCCTAAACCCAGACCACAGAGTCGGCTCCCACTGCCGGGGGCTTTCGGGGCTTCGGGCTTTTTTTGGTCTCCAGGGGGTTGACGGTCCCCCCCCCCCCCCCCCCCCCACAACCCTCCCCACCCCTGCACCCCCTACACCCCCTACCACCCCTACCCCCCGTAACCCCCCCCCCCCTCCCCCCACCCCAAACCCAACCTTACACCGTGGGTTTAGGGTTTGGGGTTTCGGGTCACCTGACAAAGCCAAAACAAATACACCCCAAGTGAACCCGAATGGAGGACATCTTGGGATGTTCGGCCCCTAAAAAACGCAGCCCTTAATAGGGATTTTAGTACCCCCCCCCCCCCAATTATCATGACCCTAAACCCTGAACCCTAAACCCTAAACCCTAAACTCTAAACCCTAAACCCTAAACCCGAATGGAGGATACCATCTACCTCCATGGTGGGCTTCAACTCTGGGGAGCAAGTCACGACTTGTGCCCCGTCCCAGCTAACGTCAGGCCTTATGCGTTGAGGGTTTAGGGTTTAGGGTTCAGGGTTTAGGGTTTAGGGTTTATCTTCTATACATTTTAAGGTCTGTTTGGGGCTTGTTTAAGGGTCGTAGAAACTTTTCCAGGGGGTTTTGCACGCTTTATAGCTGCTCAGGTGCCATGTGGGACTTGCATTGTACAGTCGGGGGCAACTTCCTCAACACTACACCTTTAAAGCGTTTCGACGCTGAACAGCCCCAAACGCCAAAGCCCAAGCTCTATTCCCATACACCGTGAATCCTAAACCCTCAACCCTAAACCCTGACGCACTTCAGGGAAGAGTCAACAGCCACACAAAGCCCGAAACCCTGAACCGAAGCCGGGTCTGAAAGTTTAGCGTCTATGAGTTGCTGGCAAGGGCTCTCAACCGGCCATCGGGTAGAAACAAGCCTAAAGCACTCCCTAATACCTTAAACCCTAAGCCCTTAGCCCTAAACCCTAAACATCAAAACCCTACACCCTAAACCGTAAACCGTAAACCCTAAAACCCTAAGCCCGAAACACTAACACCCGGAACCCTAAACCCACTGCCTCACGATGAAAGGTATAGTTATACGATCTCCACGTCCACGTGGACCAACATGACCGACAGTGTGAGCGGAGGTGGACCACAGCAGAAGGCCGGTTGGCGAGCTAGAAGAGTTCCCCCCTTATGCTAACAGTCCTTAATCGGGGTTATAGTACCCCCCCCTTTTGTAATCCCTATGAAGGACTGTCTGTATAAGGGGGAACATCCCAACATAAACCCATACAAGATCGGACATCTGCATCCAAGCAAGGCTGTGATAGCGCCCTGAACCACAGTGCCTTCCGCGCAGCGTTAACGTGTTGGGATGGGTGCTTGACTTGTTCGCACTGAACTGCTAGACCATCCTTGCTTGGTGAAGTCACCTGGGTTGGTTGCTTTGTTGTTTCTTCTCCCAACCCAGTGAAGACCACCTGGCCGTAAGGGTTTAGGGTTTAGGGTTTACGGGAAAGGGTTTAGGGCGATTATCTGATAACCTATCAAGTTCTGCGTGGTTTCTGGCAAATCAATTGCTTCTGTGGAGGAGTAGCTTGTGCAGTTCAACGCAGGAAGTCTTCGATACAAGCAGCTCGAGACGTTGTTGAGGCTTCAATGTTATGATAGCAGCTGCTCTGCTTTGGGCGTTTCATCCCGACAGAGGTGTGGCACAGCTTCGTCTACGCGAATGGGAACATCTATTCCTTTGCCGGGGCATCGCCGTACGGCAGCTCGGGGCATGCTTGGCCAACCTGAAACGGGCATGGGCCCGCCAAATCCTGGAACCCCAAGCCCCATAGTCCATTTTTCCAGGACTCCGGAAGGGATAGGGGAACACCTCATCCAGTATAAGGGAACACCTCATCCAGAGCAACCCCACCGACAGTCGATTCTCTTCATCTTGGGTCTCCCTGAAGCGTTCCTCTGCGGCCTACTGATGAGGATTTTTCAGAGAGAGATTTAGGTGTAGGGGGTCAGGGCTTAGAGTGGTTTCATTGCAGATATGCCTGGTGAGTATTCGGGGTCGAGACTGACGGGCTGGACAAACCGTCTGTTTTGGCTTGGGTTGATTGAGTGCCCACTTGCAGGCACCGGCACCAGCAACTCGTGGCCAAGCTTCTTGGCAGGCAGTAGGGCCTATAGGGTTTAGGGTTTAGGTTTAGGGTTTAGGGTTTAGGGTTTAGGGTTTAGGGTAGAGAAAACAAGCCGTAGACTCTTGAGAAAAACCTGCCAAGTCCGGGAAACGAAGAACTCCCTGAGACGTCCCTGAGAACCGCTCTACCCCCCTTCCCCAGAAAAGAAACATATAAATACTAACGCACACAATAAATTGCAGTCACCATATTTTGAATTTTTTTTGTATATTGCAGGTTGTGAGACGAAGGGCCTGGCCCATTTTCAGCTACACCTTTGGACTCCCTACGTCTTTCTGCTCTTTCGGAGAACGGTTGACTCCGAGAGACATGAAGCGCATGAGGTTTGGGGTTGTGGGTTTGGGTACTCAGGCTAAACCCTAAACCCTAAGCCCTGAGCCCTAAGCCCTAAGCCCTAAACTCAGCACCAACACAGCCCAGGTCAAGACCTTTGGCAGTTCAACATTGGGAGTGGCTGGGCTGCTGATGTGGGCTTTCGTCGAGGGTTTAGGGTTTGGGTTTAGGGTTTAGGGTTTGGGGTTTAGGGTTTAGGGTTTAGGGATACGAAGCCCTAAGCTCCAAACCTGGTTTCCCCAAAGTTCCGCGAACCTGTCAGGGAACTTCACTCAGTCATTGATCCTCGTGCTCTCAGGGTTTTGAGGAGTTGTTGCGCACGCCTCTCGGACGTCACCTCTAGAACCCTAAACCCTAAACCCTAGACCCTAACCCCTAAACCCTAAACCCCTCAAACTTAGATCGAGACCCACGACTCCCCAACCTCTTGCGGATGGTTCTTTACACCCCTACAAAAACACCCCATGATCGGAGGCTCTACCTGGAGCCAGATATCAGGGACCATGCCCGGCTATCGCCTTCAACAAGGAGAGGGCCCCCAAGCGAAGTGATGAAAGCCCTAAACCCTAAACCCTAAACGCTGCCGGATGTCAATGCCAGAGCTTTGCAGATTTGGGTCCAGGGTTCAGGGTGTTTAGGGCTCATGGTTTAGGGTTTAGGGCTTAAGGCGAGGAAATCCGCTTTGGTGATCCTGAAAGAACCCTGCAGTTCATAATTCTGAGCTTCGGTTCCCCGTGGGGGTGGGGTGATCGTGGCGTGTGTTTGAAAGAGTCTCTTCAATCCCCTAGAAAGGACCCTGAATTTCTTATTCCCCTATCCTAATTATACCTTGTATGTATATATAACTATATATCTATCTAGCCCCTACATACCTAAGTAGCCCCAAAATAACCCCGAAAGAGCCCCTCTAAGGTCCCTTATAAGGGTCCTTTAGTCCCTTGACTTCAATTCCCCGGAACCCTAAACATCCTGCCATGAACCCCTGGACTGCCTGGAGGCATGGTCCACGCCAACTCCCAAGGAAATGCTCCTGGGCTTCGACCTATGCAAAGGGCTTGGGCTCAGGCCCTGGGAGAGTATCCCTAAACCCCAAACCCTAAACCCTAAACCCTAAACCCTCAACAATCCCAAAAATGCTTCTGACACTGGGAGCGCGACCCGAAACCTTAGACGAACAGGGTTTAGGGTTTTGGGTTTCGGGTTTTGGGTGTCTGGGGCCGCTGAGGACTACCTCGTCCTTTTCGGGGGCTTCGGCTTCGTAGACTACCCCAACAGCTGGACCACGGGGTACTTTTCGGACCTCTGGATCTTTGACATCACAGCAGGCGACTGGGCAGCAGGCAGTTCCAGCCCTTGTTGAGTTTGGGGTTTATAGGGTTCTGGTTGTTTACAGGGTTTAGGGTTTAGGTTTAACCTAGGGTCTTATAGGGTTTAGAGTTCTGCGTGTTTATAGGGTTTACAGGGTTTAGGTTTAGGGTTTAGGGTTGAGAAAATCATGGGGCCCTGCTATCCCGGGCATCGTGCAGGGGTTCGGGGTGTAGAGTTTGAGGTCAAAGCCCAAGGCACCCAAGCCAACAAAGGACCAAGCCCTCAGAGTCTAAACTCTTAATTTCTAAGAAATATTCAACATACCCTAGGGCATACCCCTTAGAAGAAGTTAAGAGGTATAAGGTTGGGGCATGGTGAGCTATTCTTAGATAATTCTGACAACCCCCTAATTCCGTGCCGAAACTGAAGCCCTCGACCCTCAAAATCCCGAACGCCTTAAGTTTGGAACCATTCTTGTAACGTTCTTAAGCCCTAGACCCTAAACCCTCAACCCTAAGGCCTCAAGCACCAAGGCCTCTTGCCCGATCTTATACAACCCAAGCCTCTAAAGCCCTTCGACTCCCCAGTGCTACACTTGTTTCTGGCAAACCCTAAACCCAAAACCCGAAACCCTAAGCCCTAAACCCAAAACCCTAAACCTTAAACCCCAAACCCGAAACCCTAAGCCCTCAGCCCTAAATCCTAAACCCTAAACCCTAAACCCGAAACCCTAAGCCCGAAGCCCGAAATCCGACTCAAGCCATGGAGCTCCCAAAGACAAGGCACCTGGTCCCAGCAGACTCCGTCTGGCACAGGACGAAGCTGCGGCTGTGCACCTGGAGTTTGGGGTTTCGGGTTTAGGGTTCAGGGTTTGGGGGTTAGGGTTTAGGGTTTAGGGTTTAGGGTTTAGGGTTTAGGGTTTAGGGTTTGGTGTTGAGGGGTTACGGTTTTGGGTAGGCGTGGGAGGCTAGGGTGGTGGGTTTTAGGGGTGTAGGCGGTTCAGGGCTTCAGCATTTTTGGAGCCTCCTGTATGAATATAGATACGTATCAAAACAGTCAGCTTTTCAAGGCTCGTCCCTGTCTTGCAGGGGTTATAAATGTCATTACATGTCTTTCGGCTTTTTAGGGTTTAGTTTGTGCTTGCCGTGTTCAGTGTTCAGGTTCCATTAAAATTTGGCAGAGGTCCCTTAAACCCTAAACCCTAACCTCCGCATAGAAGTTGTTCCGGTTTTGCTAGGGGCGGGGGGTGCCATTGTGATTTGTGGTGGGAGAGGCTTGGTTCCTGAAGGGCTGTTCCCTATGGAGCCTTCCAACCCTCAATAAAGGCCGTAGGTAGCCACGCGCCCCAAATTCTGAAATTCACTGCGCCCAAACCCTGACGAACTAGACCCTGAGCCTGTAATCTCCAAGCCCGAAAACACGAAAACCCGAAAGCCCTAAACCCTTAAGTCCCAAACCCCCCCCCCCCCCCCCAAAACCGTAAACCCTATAAGCCCTAAACCCAAACCACACAGTACCCTTATAAGCCCTCAGCCCACAACTCCCCGAGTCCCAAGCTGCAAAGTCACACAGAGCTGCCAGGACCAAGCGGGAGAGGTGGCTTTGGGATGTCAACAGTCGGAACCTGAGGTGAGTCTAGGAGTGTGTGTGTTTTTTTTAGGGTTAGGGGTTTAGGGTTTAGGGTTTAATTAGGGTTTAGGGTTTAGGGTTTAGGGTTTAGGGTTTAGGGTTTAGGGGGGGGGGGGGGGGGGGGGGGTAAGGTTTTCGACGAGGGAAAGGCGTGCTGGAGTTTGGGTTGGGAACCTGCTTGGTTGCAGATCCACCCGGTTCAGGGCGAACGCCAGTTCCAGAATCTGTGCTCGGAGAAGGGTTTAGGGTTTAGGGTTTAGGGTTTTGGGTTTAGGGTTTAGGATAGGTTGGATCGTTTGCATCATGAGGGTTCCATTGGGGGGTATACGGGAAGGGTCTTCCAGCAGTTATAACCGGATATAACTGCCGACAGTTACCCAAGTAACTATTAGCAGTTAGGCAGCTGCTAATAGTTACTCTGCGTCTTCATGTTTTTGGTGAGGTTTTCGGAAATAAAAGTAGCTATTTCCAGTTATTTCCAGTTATATTTGTAATGATTTTGGCCATGTCATTGACTACCATTGGTTTCGTGTAGTGTCAAAACTGCAATTTGTTATAAAAGCATGAAAAATGCCTAGTTTTTTGTGATGATTTGTCATGGGTTCCAGCATGAGCACGCTTCTTGATGTGGTCCTGACCGAATCCCCTGCCGGTTGGGCTCGAATTTTGTGCTTTGACTCGCTATATATAGTAAACCCTAAACCCTAAACCCTAAACCCTAAACCCTAAACCCTAAACCCTAAACCCTAAACCCTAAACCCTAAACCCTAAACCCTAAACCCTAAACCCAGTCCAACGCTGTGCTGGGCCTAGATTCCGTATTCAGATGAAGATCAAGTCGTCATCTTCGGCCCAGATCTCAGAGTCGGAGGTGATGTGGTTCATTGTCGGGTATAGAGCCTGTAGGGTTTAGTTTAAAATTTAGGTTTCAGGATTAGGGTGTGGGGTTTCTGGGGTTTAAGGCATCAGTTGCAGGGGCATTTTGGGACTCGAAGATTGAACTCTGAGTTAACACACGCACACACATACAGACAGAGACGGAGCTTTGCCGCGCAGGCCTTCGGCCGAGTTGCATACACATTGCACAAGTGCACAACAAGCAGCTTTGAAACAACTTCGTGTGTGTGGCCTGAGCTCCTTCTCCTAAGCCTACGTAGGCCCTAAATACACTCACCACACCACTAGCGCAAGGAGCTGGCCGCACAATGACAGCGTCAGTGCCCCCCCCCCCCCCCCCCCCCCCCCCCCCCCCCCCCCCCCCCCCGGCCCACCCCATCCGTGGTTGGGGGAGATCTAGGGTTCACACGTTTTAGGGTTTGGGGGGTTTGTATTCAGGGATGCAACGTGGCGTATCTGCTACTAAGTTTGACAGAATGAGGACCACAACCCCGTGAGAAGTCAGAACATCATGGGAGATAAGAATGCCCCGTACCCATCTTCTATTCTTAGTCCCCAACTCCTAAACCCAAACCCTAAACCCTAAACCTCAACTTCTGAAGCTTCGACGGAACCATGTAGAAAGACACAAAACCAAGCCCAACTGACAGACCTCGTTTAGGGTTTAGGGTTTAGGGTTTAGGGTTGAGGGTTTAGCGTTTAGACCCTGTAAGCCTTAAACCCTAAACTACAGGCGGAGTGGATGCTTCCACGTACTACAACGACCTTTACGCGCATGCCCCAATCAGGGCGATCTGGGGTCAGGAATCTGGGGGTTCACGATCAGAGGGGGTACCGTTTTTGGGAGTTCCTGTTCATGAGGACTATAAATTTGGGGGTGTATTAGGGGTACCCCGATTTGTGAAATGCCCATCTGGAGAGGCAGCGGGTGCGGATGCGTACGTCTCTATCCTAACTTCAAAGCCTGAATCCCAAACTCTATAGGCGATTCAGTGACTCTAGCTCTGCCAAGAAACTCACGCCCCCATATAAAGGGCGGAGGGAGAGCGCATGCCCTCGGCACCGAAGCAGGAGACAGCACAGAAGTAGCATGCCACCAAGCGTTGTAGAACCTTAGAAGCCTTAAGCCCTCCCCAGAAGCTTGAAAACGGCACGGCTTGGTGTGTCAGAGAAGTGCTTTGACAAAACCTCCCTGGTTCAGTTGTAGCGGTCTGTGCAAGCAAGTCGATCTTGAAACGCTTCCCCCCCTCCTTACAAGGGGCCTTAATGAGAAGTGACATCCCTTTTGAATGATGAGACTCATAAGGTGTTCCTTTTAAGGTTGTTTGGGACTATTGAGAGTGTAGCTGTCATGTCGTCCAAAAGGAGGCATCCTACACATCAGCATGTGCATGGGCCTCTTCCGAATTCTGAGAATCCCATTTTGGGAAGTTGTGCCGACGCCAGCTCGAACCCGTGCACCCTTCTTAAAAAGGGTACCCACGCACAGCCCCCCGCTTGACCACGACGACTACGCCCGGTTCCGCACTCCCAAGCCCTCCATGCTCGTTATCCTCTTCATTGGGTCTTGGGATGTGCTCCCTTTTACTAGCAGTCCTTAATCCCCATTAGAATAGGGGGTGCTACAATCCCTATTATGGACTGTTAGCAGAAGGGGGAACATCCCGATTAGGGTCCCTGCTTTGAGCGCAGCACATCCAGGCTACGAAAATGTTAAAGGGCCATATATTTTTTTAAAGGCTTGCCCATATCTGATATCCCAACCCGGCATGAAATCATCGGAGTCCTTCGTGCCCAGGCATATTCTGCCGGGGCCTTGGGGCAACTGGGGGCTCTTCAAGTGGGTTTAGGGTTTAGGGCTTGACCAACCCTAAACCCTAAACCCTAAACCCTAAACCCCAAAAGGGTTTAGGGCTTGACCAAGGCTTCAGGGAGTTCTAGATGTGAGCAACAAGACTTGGACCGATCTTGAGGCGACCCTTGCCCTCAACCCCGAAGCCCTATATAGGGTGCCGCATGCATGTACTTTTGTTTGGGACTGACTAGCCCTGCCTTTGAGGGATCTTGCGGTGTGGTGTTCGGTGTTAAGAGAAAGAAAGCATTAAAGAAATAGATACATGATGAAAAAAGTAAATCAAGAAAAAACACAAAGAAAGAAAAACGAAAGAACGAACAACAGACAGAAAGAAAGGAAGGAATGAAGGAAGAAAGGAAGAAATGAAGAAAGGAAGAAAGGAAGAAAGGAAGAAAGGAAGAAAGGAAGAAAGAAGAGAGGAAGAGAGGAAGATAAGAAGAGAGGAAGATAAGAAGAGAGGAAGAGAGGAAGAGAGGAAGAGAGGAAGAGAGGAAGAGAGGAAGAGAGGAAGAGAGGAAGAGAGGAAGAGAGGAAGAGAGGAAGAGAGGAAGAGAGGAAGAGAGGAAGAGAGGAAGAGAGGAAGAGAGGAAGAGAGGAAGAGAGGAAGAGAGGAAGAGAGGAAGAGAGGAAGAGAGGAAGAGAGGAAGAGAGGAAGAGAGGAAGAGAGGAAGAGAGGAAGAGAGGAAGAGAGGAAGAGAGGAAGAGAGGAAGAAATCAAGAAAGGAAGAAAGAAAGAGAGAGAGAGAGAGAGAGAGAGAACTAAAGAACAGAAAGAAAGAAGAACAACAAAAGGATACATAGAAATGTGGAGATTGAGAGGTCGGGAGTTCAGAAGAGCAAGGGATGGAGGGTGGTGGCATGCTCTCTCAGAGGGAGGCAGAGACAGAGAGAGAGAGAGAGGAGATTTTCGGAGCGGCTGTTTGTGCGCCCAGATGCTCTTCAACTCCTGGAACATCATCAAACCGGCAAACGCCGCCGAAGTACCCCCAGCTCGATGTTGCATGGCGTGCCTCGGCCTGGATCTTCTTATGCCGCGCACAAGGGAATCCGATATTTTTTCAGCGAGGAAAACTCAAACCCACCCGACCCCAGCCCCAAAGGCGAACCCAACTGGCCTTTTGCTTTTGCTTGGCTGCACAAGTTTTCCCTGGGGCATCAGGCGCAGGGTATTGCTCTTGAACGCCTTCTCCCGCTCACTGGGCCAAGGTTTCCCAAAGTGTCTTACGATGGAGCTGCTGACGGCACTGTGGAGGACATGCTGCGTAAGAGAAGCTGAAGTGATGTAACTGCGTCAGACTTCACGCGTCCCATTGTAGGACCTTTGTTCAGCGAACACTCCGAGCCTGGACACAGAACCATGCAATTCCTATAAGCCTTGGGAGGGTTCGGGGCAGTACCAGTTCATGCACTCAAATCGAGCACGTCGTAGGCTGGTGTCAAGGAATTATGAAATGGGGGCCTGACGCACACAACCTCCAACCCTAAACTGAACCCGTTTAGGGTTTGGGGTTGAATTAGGGTTTGGGGTTAAGGGTTTAAGCTTTGGAAACCCCAAACCCTAAACCCCAAACCCAAAGCCCGAAACTCCGA